TGCATAACACCCCTCACAGCCTGGTGTGCACCTTGCTGTTCCCAGGAAGACACAGTTACCCAGACACTCCCAAGCCTCATGCATACACATTTCTGCAGATAAGAAAGACCCCCCCCCATACACACACTTTATAACCACTTGGGTCAGGGACAGCCATAGTATCTGTATGGGGCATTCTCCTGAGGTTAAGGGAGCACAGAGACAGACACCTGGGCAGTTGGGACACCTGCCCCTCCCCCTCGTGTGTAGTCCTGCATGGATACAGACATACAGGAATCCCCTGCCCTAGACCATCACATGCTCCAAGACATCCAGTTCCATAAACATCAGTGGCACCTGGCACCATGAGCCACTGCAGACACGTGCCAGAGCTGACACTCACCTCCTTGTGACCTTCACAGAGCAAACCAGTCCTTCCCATGGAGGCTTCCTGGCAGCTCCTCTGAGGCAATTAGGTGGACACAGGCAAAGAACCTGGAGGTAGCAGGCTGGTCCTCTGTTTCTGCTGCTACAGTACAGAGCACAGCAGCCCCAAGTTCAAAGCCACCGCTGACCAACTTATTCAGCGCTTTTGTTTGCTTATTTAATAGCCAAGCTGGCCTCTAATTTACTGGGTAGCTGCGGGTGACCTTGGACAGCTGATCATCTTGCCTCTACCTCTTGGAGTACTGGGGATGGAACCCAGGCCTGTGTGAGTGCCAGGCAGTACCTTACCACTAATCCCGGCCCAGCCCCCCTCATCCTCTCTGACTTCCACATTGTCAGGGTTTTTTGCCTGGAAAATGGGATAATAATGTATATGTGGACATATTTAGCACCTAGTATGGGCCACTCAATAGCATTTGTTTATGTTTGGGTTCTTTTTTATTATTGCTTTTTTTTTTTTTAATTTCCTGGGTTGGTACATGCAGAGGTTATAGGACAACTTTCGGGTATTCATTTTCTCTCTCCATTCTTTGGGTCCTGGGGATTGAACCTTTCTTTACCTGCTGAGCCGTATAACCATTCTACACCTACATTTTTGAGACAGGGTCTCAAAAACCTGAAGCTCCCTGACTGAGCAAGGCAATGTGGCTAGGGAGGCCTGGGAACCCCGTGTCCTTTCCAGCACTAGCCTGCCATACATGAGCTGTGGCTGCTGCTGCTGGTGGTCCAGACTCAGGTCTCCCTGTGGCCAGCACTTGACTGTGTTGCCCCGAGGTCAGAGTGAGAGTCTAGAGCACACTGTACCCATGCTGGCTGGGCTGGTGGCTACAGTGCCAGCCTACCCTTCTCCCCAGTGTAGATTTCTCTGGCTGACTGTGGGCCACCTCTAAGCAGCCAGTGACAGACAGGAGAGGCAGAGGTCTTTTTTCCTTACATTTGTATGTATTGTGTGTGAGAGTGTGTTGATGTGTATTTTGTGTGAGTGTGTGTGTGTGTTGATGTATGGGCATGTGTATAATGGTACCCATGTGGAAGTTAGAGGACAGCTGTGGAAGTCACTTTCTTTGTCCAGTTTAAGTCCAGGGATCAAACTGAGATCTCTATGCTTGGTTGTAGTCTAGGATTAGCTGACCCCCTCATTTCTTCCCAGGCTTCAGTTCAACAGCCCAGTCCCATCCCCTGCGCCTGCCCTCAGCTCAGGGGACATTCAGGCCTGAAGCACAAACAACAGCACCCAAGGGACCATCTGCTTACCATGAAGGCCCCTGTGCCGCCACTGACATGCACTGCTTCCCTAGGGGCAGGCCGATTTGCCACCAGGATGCCAGATAAGAGCCCTCTCAGGGTCTGTGTGGGTCTCATCTTCCCTAAACGGCAGCCTAAGCTCCTGTGCAGAGGGCCAAGGGTTGGGGTCCTCAGTGGTAGCAAACTCAGAATGTGGTCCCCATGTACCCACTGGCACTTGTGCCTCAGGTTTCACGTTCTTTGGGATTTTACCAGGACCCACCTCAAGAAATGGTGCAGAAATAAATGCATCAATATGTACAAAACATTTTAACAGGAGCAGGCAGACAGTAAGGATAGGAGTAGAGTGGGCCAGATGGATCAGTGGGTAAGGACTTGCCCCTGAGGCTGACTACATAAGTTCGGTCCCCAAAACCCACATGGTAGAAGAGTGATTCCTGAAGTCCTTGACCCTCCAAACTACCTTGGCACTAACACTCACTCACACAATGGAAATCAGTTCCACATTTAGGCTGGAGTTCTGGGCCCAAGGTATGTCATTATATGAAGACCACATGCCAAGTCTAAAAACAGTCTGAAATCAGAAACAGTGGCTTCCAGAGGAATGCAACTTACACCGTGCACTGGGCACAGCAAGTGCTCTCTAAATGAGCCCTACTGTAAAGGCTGAAGTTCTCTATGTATTTGCCTTCAGAGTTGTTGTTTTTGAGACAGGGTTTCTCTATGTAGCCCTGGCTGTCTGGAAACTCACTCTGTAGACCAGACTGGCCTCAAACTCAGAGAAATGCCTGTGTTGGTCTCTGTAGTGCTGAGATTAAAGGAGTATACTAGTATGCTCAGCTTTTATTTTTATTTTATTCTATTTATTTTGGTTTACCAAGACAGGGTTTCTCTGTATTGCTTTGGAGCCTGTCCTGGAACTAGCTCTGTAGACCAGGCTGGCCTGAACTCACAAAGATAAACCTGCCTCTGCCTCCTGAGCTCTGGGACTTCAAGGTGTGCACCACCAACACCCAGCTTTATTTTTAAACACAGTTTGTGTGTGTGTGTGTGTGTGTGTGTGTGTGTGTGTGTACATGCTGAGTTGCATGTGGAGGTCAGAAGACACCTTTTAGGACTCAGTACTCTCTCCACTATGTGGGTCCTAGGAATCGCAAGCACCTTAATCACTGCCATTTCACTGGCCTGAGTCTTTAGTTGTTTATCTTTCAATGCTAGATATAGAACCCAGGGCCTCAAGGACAAGCTCCTTACCACTTCCCTAGGTTTTGTAGGGTCTTTGTAGGGTCTCACTATGTATGTAGTCAAGGCTGACTTTACACTTGTGATCCTCCTGTCTCAGCCTCCCAAGTGCTGGAATTACAGGTGAGCCACACTATGCTGGGCTAGTCCTATGAGTTTTGACATGTGTAATGTGGTGTGATTATAGTTTTATCTTTTTCCTTGTGTGTATTGTATATGTGGGGTGGGTGTGCATGTCTGGAGGTCTGAGGTAAACATCTTCTGTTACTCTCCATGTTATTTTTTGAGATAAGGATCTGTATTATAGAGCTGCTGTTTGGCTGTATTGGGTACAGCTGGCAATTAAGCCTGCAGGATCTGCCTCGGTCTGCTACCCAGCACAGGGATTGTAGACCCCCTAGATGCATGGCACTACACCTAGCTTTTACATGGATGCTGAAGACTGGGATTCAGTTTCTTTTCATTGCACAGCAGATGTTGTATCTACTGAGCCATCGCCTCACCCCTGTCTTGTATCAGGTAAGGCACTGGCAGTCGAGCAGAATGACTGGAGGTCAAGCCCTGGAACCCGCACGGTGGAAGGAAAGTGCTGACTCCCCAGTTGTTCTCCGACCACATCATGGGCCATGGCACACACTCACCTGTGTGCACCCATGAACACAAACAATGTTAGCCATCCATTTTTACATGGTGTATACTATTCCACAGTCCCAAGTTTGCTAAAATATGTAACTCCTCAGTTACTGGATTGTTTTGGTTATTTTGTGTTTGATAGTTGATAGCTGCTATGAACATTTTTGTCCAGCTTTGACCTGTGGCCTTTCCAATGGTTTTCCTGCATTTAGCCACTCAAGTCCCTCAAAGTTTTACTTAACAAATACTTATTTTTTTAAATTTATGAATATTTTGCCTGCATGTATGTCTGTGCAGCACATATGTGCCTGACACCTACAGAAGCCAAAATGGCATCAGATACCAGAACTGGAGTTACAGACGGTTGTGATCATATTGGTGCTGGGGATCAAACCCAGGTCCTCTACAAGAGCAGCTGGTGCTCTTAACAGCTGAGTTGTGTCTCCAGTCACTCAGGTGGTTTTGTTTTGTTTTGTTTTGTTTTTTGAGACAGGTTTCACTCTGTGTAGCCTTGGTTGTTCTGAATCTCCCTCTGCAGACCAGGCTGACCTTAAACTCAAGATCCACCTGCCTCTGCCTCCCGAGTGCTAGGATTAAAGGGTTGCACCCAGTCTCTCGGTTGATTTTGTGTGTGTGTGTGTGTGTGTGTGTGAACTTTATTTGTTTTTATGTTGGTTTTGTTTATAGTTTCATTTTTTGGTTTTTGAAGACAGGGTTTCTCTAAGTAACCTGGAACTCACTCTATAGACCAGACTGGCATCAAACTCAGAGATCCTCTAACTCAGAGCCTCCTGCCTCTGCCTCTTAAGTGCTAGGATCAAAGGTATGCACCACCAATACTTTCTTGGAGGATTTCGTTTTGCCAGTGAACCCAAGGTCACCTTGGTTTGCTAAAGCTGGAGCCAAGGTTTATCTACACACAGCTGACATTTCACCCACAGCATCCTGACAGCCCACAATGCTTTTCTTTGGATTCTTGGTATGGGCACTTGGACTGTGACCTGTTGGGACAACTTCTGAATCCTCTACCTGAGTTTTATAATTAATACATTCTTCCTTATTTTGTGTGGACATATGTGGGTGAAAGTGCATGGATGTTGGAGTGGATATAAGAGGGAGGTTAGGGTCGTCTCAGTGGTCTTTAAATTTTTAAGTTAATTGGCCTTAGACAGGATTTTCCATATACCTAGGATTTTTCAAATTCATGGCAGTGCTCTTGCTGCTTCAACTTCCCAAGTGCTGTGTGTGTGTGTGTGTGTGTGTGCTCGCGTGCGCGCGCACGTATTGTAAAAAGTAAAGTGGGGTACATTCAAGAAATGAACACAAGTCTTTCATGCTGTCTCCCACTCCTGTCTCCCTGTACCTCTGCTATAAACCTCCTCTCTTTCACACCTCTTGACCTTGCCAGCATGATCTTAGTCCCCCCTGACTCCTCTTCCCTTTGTCCCTTGCAGCTTGGAGGCAGAAAATGGGCCAACACCATCCCCTGGGCGCAGCCCCCTGGACTCGCAGGCGAGCCCAGGGCTTGTGCTGCATGCTGGGGCAGCCACCAGCCAGCGCCGAGAGTCCTTCCTCTATCGCTCAGACAGTGACTATGACATGTCACCCAAGACTATGTCCAGGAACTCATCTGTCACCAGCGAAGCGTGAGCACACCCTGCCCTACTCACCAGATCCCTTGGGGCTGGCCCTGCCACAAGTTGCCCTTTTCAGCAAAGAGTGGGCACCCCACCCCCTCTTTGCTCAGCCCCCACACACTGTTCTCCCCACTGAAGGGTAAGCAGCTTCTTTCCTCTCACAGGGGACTTACAAGTGTTTGGCCATGCCCACCAGCTCTGCTCACAACCAGTCACTGGTTGCCTTCAAGTCTGGCCCCTCTCCTCTGACTCTAAGCCCAGGCTGTCCTCAAACTCCCTATGTAGCTGAAGCTATCCTCAAATTCCTGATCTTCCTATTTATATGGTGCTGGGGATTGAACCCAAGGCGTCCTGCATGCTAAGCAAGCATTCTACCCAAGCTACATCTCCATGAGCAGACTAGCTGACCTCAAGCTTGTAATCCCCCTGCCTCAGCTCTCTGAGTAGCTGAGATTATAGCATATGGTATGGTACAGACTGGTTCTTTTTAGTTTGCATTCTTTTCTCTTCTGTTTGCTGGGAATGATTTGGAGAGTTACATGTGGTGGGCAATCTGTACCACTGAGCTGTATCCCAAGCACAGCCATATGAATTGTCACTCCAGCAAAAGAGGAGCCCCACTTCTGGGAACCCTCCAGTCCTCCCTTGCTTTTAAGCCCCTATTGGGATGGGAGAGCCCCCATCTACCATCATTCTCTCTCTGGGCCCCACTGTGTAGACAGTTCCCCCTCTGTGGCACCTATGGTATGTCCCTACAGTTGCCTTGTCCTGTCTCCTCCTTGCTAATCATGACAGTGTTTATCCCGAAGACCTGGACCCTCACCTGCCCATTTTTACTTTCAGGCACGCTGAAGACCTCATTGTGACACCATTTGCCCAGGTGAGAGAGACCTCCTCCCCTCATGGGAAAAGGGCCCAGCCTGGTGGTCCCTGCAGGTAGACATCTCTCCTTACAGCTGTCCCTCACCCCAGGTGCTGGCCAGTCTTCGCAGCGTTCGAAGCAACTTCTCACTCTTAACCAATATGCCCATCCCCAGCAACAAGTAAGTGGAGCTGAGTCCCTGGAGCCCACACTCAGTCTGGGGATGCAGCTCAGTGAGTTGGGAGCAGCCCTGGGTTCCACCCCTGGCAACCCAGCAGAAGAATCAGGAGTTTAGGTTCATCCTTGGCTACATAGGGAGTTTCAGGACAGCCTGGGCTATGTGAGACCTGGTCTCAAAGTGGAGGAAAAGAAAAAGGACAGCTGGACTCAGTTCTCAGCCTTGCTTTGTGGCCTGAGGCCAGCCAGTCCTTGACTGTTCAAGCAACCCTTCTAAGTCAGAGAACCACTGCTTCTAGGAACAAAGGCCGACATGGATGGTGGTCAAGCTCCAGCTCTAGCTCCAGCCCTGAGTTCCAGGTTGTGACACCAACTTGCTAGACAAATAGTAGCTGGGGGGGGGTGGTGCCTGTGTTTCTCTTTAGTAAAATGAAAGCTGCTGAACTGCTTTAATTAGAAAGCTTCTTCAAGAAGCCCAGAAGACAACATGCACAAAGTATTAGGATGTTGTCTGTGCGCAGTGTATGCTCAATAAATAGGACATTGTTTGTACATAGCATATGCTCAGCAAATAAGGATGGTTCCAGTTAGGCAAGATGGCTCAATGAATAAAAAATACTTGCTGCCTAACCTGACAGCCTGAGTTCAATCCCCAGAGCCCACACAGAGGATAGAGAAATGACCTCCACACATTCACTGTGGCCTTCATGCCCCCCCCATCCACATGATAAATGTGAAAGAAAGTTTTCTAAAAAATAGGTATGGGGTGTGGCGGGTCCTGGAGAGATGAATGAACTGTTGAAATGTTGAGAGTGAGCATTGCTCTTGCATAGGACTGCACCCGCATGGGGCAGCTAACAATTGCCTGCAACTCCAGCTCTTGGGGATCCAGTGCCCTCTTCTGGATTCTGAGGAGATCCACACCCCCATGCACACATGTACACGAGGGCACACACACATACACACACACACACACACACACACACACACACACACACGGAGGCAGAATGTTGTATACATAATAAAATCTTAAAAAAATAAAAAATAAAATTAGAAGTTGGTATGGGTTGAGCATGGTGGCGTACCCCTGTAATCCCAGCCCTCTGCAGGCAGAATAGGGGAAGCTCTGTGCTTTCAAGGCCAGCCTGGCCTACAAAGTGGGCAACAGACCTGTCAGGGCTACACAGTCAGACCCTGCCTTTAAAAAAAACAGGGGAGGGACAGTTCTTATCTTAGGGCAGAGGGGTATCTGGGAATTGCAGTCCTTGAGGGTTATGGCCATACTCAAAAGCTTGAGAGAGTTAGGGAGACCAAGAAACTTGAAAACATAGGATCTGGCCTACCACAGATGTGGACTAAATGAGATTACATTCCAACCAGACATGGTAACCCTCACCTGTTATCCCAGTACACAGGAAGAGGCTGAGACAAGATGTCCAGTTCCAGTCCAGGCTGTGCTACAACGAGGCCCTGCAAAAGAATCTAGCTTCATCTATTTGAGTGTTCATGTCCTTCCTCTGTATGGGCTCTTGGGCTGAGTGTATAGTTCAGAGGCCAGAATATAAACAAATAATAAATAACTGGGGCTGGGGCTCGGTTTGCCTCACATGCATGAAGCCCTGAGTTCTGTCCCCCACACTCCATGCACAGGGAAAAACGGAACATATATGCAATCCCATCACTGTGGGATCTGGAGGATCAGGGTCATCTTTGGCTACCTAGTGACTTTGAGGTCAGCCTCAGCTGAGACTGTCTCACAAAAGACAAATTCAGGCTCTGAAATTCTATGAGTTCAAAACTAGGGAAACCGGTGTTACTCATGGAGAGGGAGGCTGGTTCTCAGAGAACCCAGACTGACATTAGAGTCCCATTTTTTTGCAGGCGGTCCCCACTGGGCGGCCCACCCACTGTCTGCAAGGCCACGCTGTCAGGTAGTTAAACCTAGAGGTTGGGGGAAGCCCCCCCCCCATTGCCCTGGATATGCCCTCAGTACTGGGGTGGGAGACTACCTGGGGGCCCTCTGGGTCACTTCCCTGAACACCCATTTCTCAGAGGAGACATGCCAGCAGCTGGCCCGGGAGACCCTGGAAGAGCTAGACTGGTGTTTGGAGCAGCTGGAGACCATGCAGACCTACCGCTCTGTCAGTGAGATGGCCTCGCACAAGGTGGGCGGGGCCGGTGAGCAGCTAATTCTGCCTGGAGGGCTGGGTGAATCTGTGGTGGACTGGGCTAGTACCTTTGAGAGAGGGGGCTGTTGGGCAAGTCAAATCTTGATGGGTGGGTGGAGCCAGTAGGCAGGTGAATCTCACGGGGTGGGTGGGAGGACTGGGCAAGGTGAATGTTTGGGGTGGGTGGAGCCAGTCGCCAGGGTAAAGCTTGTGGAGTGGATTTGAGTTAATGAGCGGCCTGAATCCTTCGGAATGGGTGGTATGGTGGGTGGGGTTAATCCTCTGATGTTGGTTGGCTAGCCTTTAGGCAGGGCTGCAGGGGTACTATGAATCCATGGGTGGACCCAATTCCGTGAGCTGTGAATGATGCCAGAGGCTTAGCAGGTCCAGTGTGGCAGAACCAATCACTGTGTAGAGAAGTGGAGTGAATAGCAGCAGTCCTGGAGCAGGACTGTGTGCAAAGCTAATCACCAAATTCAGGTGGTGAGCAGGACTGAGCTCGGATGTAGAGCCTGGCATTTGACTGCCTTTAGAAGAATGAAAGTAGCTTATAACTCTGAGCTGAGTTTTACAGATAGCTTTCTCTCTTGGAGGTGTGTGGTATGTGTGTATCCCTGGCTTCCAACCTGCATGGCTATTGGCTTTTTGACTATTCATTTGCAAGTGTGTTTAGTGTCATTCTGAGGGGCTGTGTGCAGGTGTGTACCTTCAAAAGGGTATGTGGTGTGCACAAGTGGTCACATAGTATGTTATGGGTGTGGGGCTTGCTGAAGCGATGCATCTGATGGTGTGATTTTGGTCTGGGTTTGAATCTGAGAACCTGTGATTTTTAACAAGTTCTAGCCATTGTAAAGGGAGGCACAGGACTTCCCTGTCCAGTGTGTGGGGTGTGAACGCCTGACTCCAGGGGGCACCATTTAGTCGCCAAGGCCAAATGAATGAGGCTTCTGGGAGCTGTGCAGCCCTTGTGGGTGGGTGTCTATCAGGAAATGAGTGTGCAGGTGGGGGCATTCTTCAGGAGTACATATATCTGAGTGGGTGGAGGCTTGTCTGGGAAAAGGAGTTCAAGGACAACTGTGTCCCTGAGGATGGGTTAAACTGTCTAAAAGTGTGTGTGAGAGCATACACTTTCTTGCACATGTGTTTCTGTGACAGTGTGTTGATTTGCAGCCTGTGCTGTCTGAGGGCACTTGAGAGGACCTCTGTGTGCTGAGGGCTGTATGATGGCCTTGAAACTTCAGCATTCACGTGCGTGCACGTGTGTGTGTGTGTGTGTGTGTGTGTGTGTGTGTGTGCGCGCGCGCGCGTTTTAGTGTCTGGCTGTATTCAGTGTCTGGGTTTGAGGATGGTGTGTCTCAAGGCATGTATGTGATGTGCAGTGTGTTTCTCTATCTGGCCGTGTCCCTGCATGAGTGAGATGTGTCTTCAGAGAGGCTTGAGGGACTCCTTGTCTTCCCAGTCTTCCCACAGCAGCCTCCTCTGAGTCCTGGCTGAGGCCCATGGGCTCCCATGCCCCTTTAACGCCCCCCCCACCTCCAGCACCACCTGACTTTAAGTGCAGCCTTCAGTACTGCAGTGAGAGAGAGAGAGAGAGAGGAAGCGCACACAAACACACGCACACACACACACACACACACACACCAGTGCACATAGGAACCCCTGCCTCCTCAGCACAGCTGTCCTTCCCAGGACACTTACCCTGCCTGTCCCCATGAGCATAGGTTTCTCACTGCCTCTGCTACAGAGGGACCCATCATGACCAGGGGCTGGCAGACCATGTAACCAGGGCTGCTGCTGGGAGTGCGGAGGGGAAGGGGTCTTTCTGGGCTGGCCCAGGCCCCTCCGCAGCTCCCCTTGGACAGTGTCCCCACCTGCCCAGCCCCTCCTCCCCCACCATTGCCCCCAGTCCCCAGGCAATCACTGACCCAGGGACTACTTTACCTGTTTGCCAGCCCAAAGCTGAGCTTCCAACATGCCTCTGGTGGACTTCTTCTGCGAGACCTGCTCCAAGCCCTGGCTGGTGGGCTGGTGGGACCAGGTAGGGGAGCGTGGGGTCAGGGTGGGGGGACATTGTCCATCAAGGACTTCTGACCTTATGGGATGGGCACTTAGATGCAGCTGTGTTCATGTATAGGTGGGCCATAGAATATGCTTTGTGGCTTCTGTGTGACCCAGGGCTGGGTATGGATGGTGGTGGCTGTGTGTAAGTGTGTGTGTGTGTGTGTGTGTGTGTGTGTGTGTGTGTGTGTTGTGGGGAGTCTTACTAGGGAAGGTGTCTCTTTGGCTGGGTGGCTGACCTGTACCTGGCTGTGCATGTGTCTGTAATGGCTAGGTATCCTGCCTGGTTCCTGGAATGGACCAGATACTTTGTGTTGGGGTTTATTTGTTAAATGTAGGTGGTGCTACTTGATGTTTCTTGGGGTGTGTGACCCCAAATGTCAATGACTACTTATTGGGGTATGTACCTTTCAGTTGGTGCATTTGAGCTGTGTGGGATTATGTACAGTTGTGTGAGATTGCGTATGTGTGTCTGTGTCCAGGTCTCTGGGTAGCACTGAGAAAATGACCACACTCAGCAGTGTGGGTCACCTCTCCTGTGTGTTACCTCTCTGCCTTACCCATACAAGAGTCTGTCCCTGCTATGGGGTGCTGCCAGTGGGGAGCAAATGCCCTTTCTGCTCCAAATCCAATGTCACAGAAGATGCCTGTGTGAAGGGACATTGGGGGCCAGGAGACGACCCCCAAACCCATTTGGGGGCATATTCCACCCATTTGTATATTATCTACCCCATAAGGAGGAGGGACTTTGATTGGAACCCACTCCCCAAGGTGATGGGACTGGGATTTCCTAGGCTCGCTCATTCCCCACTGGTCTGGCCAAACCCTCCCCTCTCCAGAGCTTGGGTGCTAAGAACCATGTAACTTTCCAGATTCCGCTGGGGCTGAATAGCAGACCCCCAACCTTCCCCTCCAAGCTATACCCCTGGAATGAGGTCATGTTTGACAACACCTAGGCCCTGGATAGCTCTGGGAAAGTAAGGGTTAAAGGACCTCAGGCTTGCCCCCCCCCTTTTCTGGACTCAGCAGCTGGTTGGAGGGGGAGTTGCTAAGGAGACTCCCATCACCATGGCAACAGGACTCTCCTGGTGTGTTATTGGTTCTGTGGTTAGCAGGAGCCCCTCCCTTCCACAGGTGCTCCTTGCATTCCTCTCCATAAGGGGGGTGTCCTTTTCCTCAACTGGGAATCTCCTCCCAAGTTAGGGGAGGCCCCCCTCCAGAGCCAAGAGGACAGGAAAAGGTAATTGTACCCATCAAGCAGCCTAATTGAGTGCTCTGAGTGGAGAAACTGTGAAGCCTTTAGGGAGTTACTGGGAAGGGCTCTCACATATCTGTATCCACATGCACCCCACAATGACCCCCATCACCCATTCCTTCTCCTCAGTTCAAAAGGATGCTGAACCGTGAACTCACACACCTGTCGGAAATGAGCAGGTCAGGAAACCAGGTCTCAGAGTACATTTCCACAACATTCCTGGGTGAGTGTCAAGTCAGCAAGTGGGATGGGGGTGGGGAATTGGGTCAAGGGTCACTGAGTTCATGAGTCCCCTCTCAAACTTAGTGAAACCACCCAATTTCTGTGGAGCCCATATTAAAAATATCTCAGGCCGGGGAGATTTCTCTGTCATTGAAGTACTGACCTCATAAGTATGAGGACTTGCATTCAGATCCCTAGCACCCATGTCATAAGTATGAGGACTTGCATTCAGATCCCTAGCCAGGTACCACATTGTACATATATAATCCAAGCACTTTGTAGATATAGACATTGGCCAGGCAGTGTAGCCAAATCTGTGAGCCTGGGGTTCAATGAGAAATTCTGACTTAAACAAGGTAGAGCTAGCAGAGGTTGCGGTGGCACCAGCTCTGGCATAGGCACGCCTTTCATCTTAACACTAAGACGCAGAAATGGGAGGATCTCTGTAAAGTGAAGCCAGCCTGGTCTACATAACAGGTTCTAGGACAGACAGACTACATATGTCTCAAAAAAAAGAAAAAAAAAACAAGTTTGTTACCCCAACACTCTGGAACTCTGGAGCACCAATGCTGGAGATTCCCCTCTGGCCTGCATGCATATGTGTTCACACACATAAAACAAAATACCAATATAAAATCAAAATCTCCATTAAAATTCTTGTTTATTTTTCATTATTTGTTTATCGAGACAGGTTTCGTTGTGTAGTTTTGGCTGGCCTGGAACTCAATATGTAGACCAGGCTCCAATAGAATTCTTAAACTTTACAAAGCCTCCAAGCAGCAGTCAGGAAGGGGGTCAATGGGTAGAGCTCTGTCCTGGCATACTGTGGCATACACAATGGCCTGGGCTCCTTTACTAGCACAGCATCAACCCACCCTGGTGCACAGGCTGTCATCCCACCACTCTGGAGAAGCAGAGGAAAAAGTTCAAAGTCATAGTTTGTTATATAGTTGATTGGCTTAAAAAAACAAAAACAAAAGACGCTGTCTCAAAACTGAACCAAGCACACTGAGTAAGGCCAAGAGCAGGGTGTGATGTTTCATACCTATAGTCCCAGTACTGAGAACTGGAAATTTAAGGACGACGTGGGCTGCATAGCAAGATGCTCTCTCAATAAATCAAAATAAAATATATAGAATATCTCTGATACACAGCTTTTAATCTCAATGGTCAGGCAGGAAGATGTCTGTATGTTCAAGGCCAGCATGGTCTATAAAGCAAATTCCAGGCCAACCAGGGATAGACAGTCAGACCCTGTCTCAAAAACAAACAAAAGCAGGGTAGATGTAGAGGATTGATACCTAAGATTGTCTTCTGACCTCTACATCTACTTGTCCTCATAGGAGCACACATAAACACAAATACCCCAACCTAGACAAGATTTCTGTGAGTAGCTCTGACTGTCCTGTAACTTACTCTGTAAACCAGACTGGCCTCAAACTCAGTGATCTGCTGCCTCTGCCTCCTGAGTGCTGGGATTAAAGGTGTAAGCCACCAGCAGCAGGCCAAATAAATACTTTTAAAAAACTAATAAAAGTGAATCATTGTGGTGGCACATGCCTTTCATCATGGTACTCAGGAGACTAAGACAGACGGATTTCTCAGAGTTCTAGCCAGGCACAAAGATACCCTATCTTAAAAAAAAAAAAGCAAAAGCAAACAAACAAAAAAATAGAACAACAACAAATCACTAAAAGGACAGGCTTGGCAGCACATGCCTTTGACCCCAGAACTTTGGGGGCAGATAGAGACTGGAGTTAAAGGTTAGCCTGCCTACAGAATAAATTCCAGGATGGCAAAGGCCACACAGAGAGACCCTGTCTCAAAAACAAAACCAAAAAGTCAATAACAGAAAAAAGCAGGTGCTCTGGAGAGATGGCCCAGTGGTTAAGTGTGAATAGTGCTCTTGCTGAGGGCTCAGCTTAGGTTCCCAGCACCCACACCAGGCAGCTCACAGCCACCTGTAACTCCAGTTCCAAGACTTCTGATGCCCTCTTCTGGCCTCCCAGGTTACCTGCAGCACACACATAAAAGAAACCTTTTAAGTAAAAAGATAATAAACTTTAAGAAGGCTGGGGTGATGGAGCACACTATAAAATCCCACACTCAAAAGGCTAAGAGGCTGAGAGAGGAGAATTCCAGGCCAGCCTGGACTACACTATAAGACCCCAGGCAGTAGTGGTGCAGAGCTTTACTCCCAGCACTCAGGATGCAGAAACAAGCAGATCTCTGTGAATTTGAGGCCAGCCTGGTCTACAGAGTGAGTTTCAGGAGAGCCTCCAAAAAAGCTACACAGAGAAACCCTATCTTGAAAAACAAATAAACAACCCCCCCCAAAAAAAGTTTTTAAAATTAGGAGATTCAGTTTTAAGCCTTCCTACAATAGTGAGAGGGTATGGTATGTCTCAGAATTCTGAGGATGCAGCCAATGGGAGGGTTGCATGCAAATTACTTCCTCCAAGGTCATAATGGGATGGGATGAGTCTAGGTGGCCCTCAGAAACTTAGAAAGCTCAAGAAGAATCTCTGGGAGTGGTCCCCAGGCTGGCTGGTGCCAGGGGAGAGGGTCATGGACCCAAAGACCTCCCTTCCCTCTCACCTACCAGTGATTCCCCTTCCTGCCACTACTCCTGGCCATCATAGGGGCGTCTTCCCTAGCCAAGAAGTTTCCCTGGCTATCCAGGGTCAGCAGCACCTTACTCTGGGACCCCCTTCCCACCTCCTCATGTCTCATACCATGTTGTGGCCCAAATTGGGCACCAGTCTGAGGGTACTCCATAGTCCAGGATCATCCCTAAGACCCCCACTGCAGCCCACCACCTTCCAGCAAATTTCTTATGTGTGTCCTGGCTTCCAGCCTCAGAAAATAGACCAGCATTACCCCCAGAAGGATTGTCTTATACCAAGTGAGATATCTGAGGACATCGCCAGGGACTGAGGGATGGGGGTAGTCTCCTTGAAAGGGGGTCTCATGCTTTGTTACCTGATCTTTGACAGACAAGCAGAACGAAGTGGAGATCCCATCACCCACATCACGACAGAGAGCCTTCCAGCAGCCCCCACCACCAGTGGTACGACAGTCTCCACCCATGTCCCAGATCACAGGGTTGAAAAAGCTGGTGCACACTGGAAACATAAACACCAGTATCCCACGATTTGGAGTCAAGACTGATCAAGAAGAGCTCTTAGCACAGGTAGGTGGTGGGGTTCAGTGGGGACCGTGTTCTCTGGGGAGGCATTCAGCAAAGGCTGGGTCTTTGGGACACATGTAACCCACAGTCCCAGGATGCAGAGCCTGAGTTACTTCAGGATGGAAGTGAAGGATGAGCAGGGAATGATTCCAGGTAGATTCAGCAGAAGCCTGGATTTAGACAGTCATTCTATCTCACTTGAAGCAGCTCTAGTAAAAGCTGTGTAATGTATTTGGAGGAGACCAGCATTCCTTTCCCTCACCCCAACACAGCCAAAGCCTCATGACCAGCTCAGCTTAGAGTCTGAGCTCAGCTTGGGGATAAGCCTGCCTTGGCTCCCATCCAGCTTGTGTCCTGAAGGGTAGTCGAGAAGTAAAGGCATTTCTCTGAGCTTCCTTCACCCACCAGCTGAGCTCAAGCACTTGATACATAATGGCTAGAGATACTACAGGCATGGGTAGGGATGTGGTTCAGTTGGTAGAATGCATGCCTGGTGTGCTTGAGTTCCCAGAGTCCATTCCCAGCACCATATAAACCCCTGTGATCCTAGCACTGGAGAGATAGAATCAGATAATTGGGCATTCACGGTCATCTTCCACTACAGAGTGAGTTCAAGGTCAATATGGACTGCAGGAGACCCTGTCTCAAAGAAAAGATAGGGTGTGACTGGGGCAAGTTCAGATCCCTAGTGCCCACATAAAAACCCAGATGTGCTGTGTAGACCTGTTATCCCAGTTCTGGTTAAGTGAACACAGTATAGGACAGTCCCTGGGGCTGGATGGGCAGCCAGAGTAGCCAAATCTGTGAGCTCCCAGTTCACTGCAGAGACTATTTCAAAAAATGAACAAGTACTTGGTACCTGGTAACCTGCGTTCAATACCCAGGACCCACATGCTAGAAAGGGAGAAGCAACTCCCACTACTAGTCCTCTGACTGACACACATGTAAACACACAAACACACACACTTTTGGAGCTAGAGAGATGCCTCAGCCATTTGAGTGCTTGCTACTATTATGTAGCTCTTGAGTTCAGTTCCCAGCACCCCATGATGGGGAGGGCAGAAACTCAAAACTGACAGTAATTCTAGCTTCAGGGGATTTTAACACCTCTTCTGGCCTCTCTGGACATACAATAAAAAATATTTTAAATGTCTTTTTTTAATAATTTTTTTTTTGAGCCAAGTGGTGGTGGCACCTTTAATACCAGCACTTGGGAGGCAGAGGCAGGTGGATCTCTTGAGAGTTTGAGGTCAGCCTGGCCTATAAAGCTACACAGAGAAACCCTGTCTCAAAAAAAAAAAAAAAAAAAAAAAAAAAAAAAAAAAAGATTTTTTTTTTTTTTTGGTTTTATTTATTTTACATCCAGGCCACAGTTTCTCCTCCCTCCTCTCCTCCCAGTCCCCCTTTGTTTGTTTGTATGTTTAGACTTCTCTGTGTAGCCCTGGCTGACCTTGAACTCAAGAGATCTGCCTGCCTCTGCCTCTCAAGTGCTGGGATTAAAGGCATGAGCCACATCAAGGTCCAGCTTTTTAAAAGAATTTTTTAAACAAGGAATGATTGACAAGGACACCCAGAGTTGGGTGTGTCTCTATGGGTGTGTATACCTGCACACACACAAGTACAGTGCTGTGTTAAAGTCTTTGAATTTGGTTGGGTGTGCTAATCCCAGCACTCAGAAGGCAGAGGCAGGTGGATCTCTGAGTTTGAGGCCAGCCTGGTCTACAGAGTGAGTTCCAGGACAGCCAGGGCTACACAGACAAATCCTGTGGGGTGGCTAGACAGATGGGTCAGCAGTTAAGAGCATTGGTAGTTCTTCCAGAGATCCTGAGTTCAGTTCCCAACAACGGCATGCTCACAACCATCTATAGTGTGATCTGATGCCTCTTATGTATGATGCCCTCTTGTGTTATGTTAGGCATTCATGCAAGTAGAGTACTCACATACATAAAATACATAAATAAATCTTCTAGAAAAAAAGTTAAAAAATAAAAAAGTCCATGCATTTGGACACATTTTGTTAGCAAAAAATGAGTCTGACAGCCCTAGGAAGCGGCTTTCAGGTCCCCAGGCCATGCACACTCCTGACCTCTCACCCCTATCATTGCCAGGAACTGGAGAACTTGAGCAAATGGGGCCTGAACATCTTTTGTGTGTCGGAGTACGCTGGAGGACGCTCACTGGGCTGTATCATGTATACAGTATTCCAGGTGATGGGGACAACAGGGGGCTGCTGGGATGTAGGGGACTGGGACAGGGTACTGGGGCCAGCAGGGGTCACTGTCCAGCCTTTGTTGGCTCCTAGGAGCGGGACCTGCTGAAGAAATTCCGCATCCCTGTGGACACTATGGTGACTTACATGCTGACCCTGGAAGACCACTACCATGCTGACGTGGCCTACCACAACAGCCTGCATGCAGCCGATGTGCTCCAATCCACACATGTGCTGCTGGCCACCCCCGCACTAGATGTAAGTGTCTTATAAGTGCCTGCCACTGCCCCTTGTTACCATCTTCCTCCTTCCCAGGTGTCCCTCTGATCTTGTCTCTATCCTGTTTCTCTAATCTTATCTTCTCTGGGTTTTTGTTGTTGTTTTTATCTTGTGATTGAGCAGGGGGGTGTGGGGGAGGGAGTTGTGCATGTGTGAAGTCAGAGAACAACTTTTGGAGGTCTTTTCTGCCTTTTTACCATGTAGGTCCATGACTCAAACTTGGGTTGTTGGGCTTGGTGGCAAGTTCCTTTACCCAGTGAGCCATCTTGCTAGTGTCTCTTTTGTTTTATTGGTGGGGGGCATGTGTATGTGAGCCAGGCACAAGTTCAGAGGTCAGAGGACACTCCTATGTGTCAGCTGTCCCTTTTTACCGTGTTTGAAGACAGGATCTCATTTGTGGCTGCATAGGCCAGGCTAGCTGAGCTGACCCAGGGCTGGGGGGGTTCTCCTGGCCCCGATTCCCATCTCATAGGATTACAGATGTATTCTATGGCTGTCTCTAGCATCCCTGTTTTTGTTTTGAGGTGGTCTCATCATGTAGTTGGAACTCACTCTGTAGACCAGGCTGATGTCTGACTCAGAGATCCACCTGCATCTGCCTCCTGAGTGCTGAGATTAACACCTTGGTTTTTGAAGTAGGATCTCTCATTGACCTGGACTCTCAGATTGGCTGGCCAGGGAGCCCCAGAGAATCTACCTGTTGACCTTCCCAGTGTGCTGGTATTGCAAGAGCAGGCCATCAGAGTTGGCTTTTTTTGTAGGGTCCAGGTTAAAAATTCAGTTCCTCATGCTCGCATAGCAAGCCCTTTACTGGTTCAGCCATCTGCCCAGACTCCTGTCTTTGTCTTCTCTCCTTCTTCTGGACCCCTCCCCCTCCCTCCAACTCTCAGTCTGTGCTATTCCCCTTGTTTCAGGCTCTGCCTCTCCCTCACCTCTTCTCCTTGCCCCCAGGCTGTATTCACAGACCTGGAGATTCTTGCCGCCCTCTTTGCTGCTGCCATCCACGATGTGGACCACCCTGGCGTCTCCAACCAGTTCCTTATCAACACCAGTGAGTGGCCTTTCAGGGTATAGACAGACTCGGGGCGTGACACTTTGGCATGAGAGCAACACCTGCTTGAGTAGAGGTGGAGCTGGCCCATCAGGCTGGGTTGAGAGAATGACGCTAGTCTAGGGGGGGGCTGGGCTGGTCAGGATGAAGGTGAGACAACTGTGCTGTGGAGACTGGACCACCGGGGGTTGGGGGTGGGCTTAGCAGGGCTAGCTTTGGGGGCATTATATACTGATGGAGCCAACCTGGCTGTGGACCTGGTTTGTGGGAGTGGAGCCAGCCAAATGAGGGCGGGGCTTGTTGTGGATGGGATGAGCTAGCTGGGGTAGGGGTGAGGCCCACCAGACAAAGTGGAGTGTGGCAGCAACAGCCTAGGCTGGGCGAAGCCAACCTGAGGACGGGGCTTACGGTGATGCCTTCCTGGACCCATGTAGTACGGGCTGGGGCTGGTCACTTTGAGGGTGGAGCCAGTTGGAGACAAGGTGCACACTGGGCGGGGCGTGGTACCCAAAGTCGCCTCTCCTGACCTCAGTCTTGCCGCAGATTCGGAGCTGGCGTTGATGTACAACGATGAGTCTGTGCTTGAGAACCACCATCTGGCTGTGGGATTCAAGCTGCTGCAAGAAGAGAACTGCGACATCTTCCAGAACCTCAGCAAGCGCCAGCGGCAGAGCCTGCGCAAGATGGTCATCGACATGGTGGGTGGGGCCAGTGCAGTGGGCGGGAATTAGTTTGCAGGGCGGGGCCCCAGTCTAGAGGGGTGTTAGGAGCCTTACAGGTCGGCAGAGGAAAATAATTCCAGGTTCGTGGTGGGTGACATGGTGTTGCTGAACAAGCTTTCGCCACCTGACTTGATACCACTCTGCCCTCAGGTACTGGCCACAGACATGTCCAAACACATGACCCTCCTGGCTGACCTGAAGACTATGGTGGAGACGAAGAAAGTAACCAGTTCGGGAGTTCTCTTGCTGGACAACTACTCCGACCGCATCCAGGTGCCCTAGCACCCTGCTTCCTGAATGGCCCCTGCTGCCCTCTTCCATGTTATCACTGTCTTTTCCAACCCATGCTTCTCCTTCCCTCCCTTTATCAGCCCTTTCCTTCTCTTTAGCCCTTCCCACCCAGTCCTCTCTCCTGACCTCTCCATCTTGCTCCACATTTCTCTCACCTCTCAATTTCCCTCACATATGCTTCTCACCTCTACTTTTTCTTTCACTCATTTCACCTGCACCCAACACGCCACACACACGCCATGCACACATGCATACACACGCGCGCGCGCGCACACACACACATGCACGCACACACGCGCGCGCGCACGCACACACACACGGTAGGAGTTAAGAAAACCTTTACCCTGGTGCCTGTAATCCCAGCATTCCAAAAGCAGAGGCAGGAGGATGACCACAAGTCAAAAACCAGCTGGGACTCCATTTGGGAACCCCCCCCCCAAAAAAAAAAAAAAAAAAAAACCACTAAAAACTAAACCTTTATGTGGTGTTGCATACCTTGTAATCCAAGCACTTGGGAGATGAGGACAGAATCAAAGTTCCAGGTCAGCCTTAGTTACACAGTAAATTCAGGGCTGATCTGGGCTATAAGAGACCCTCTGTCGAGGCCCCACAGCCAGGGACTCCGCCTGGCCTCTGGCCTCTGATGGCCCCTCCCTGTGCTCACCAGGTCCTCAGGAACATGGTGCACTGTGCTGACCTCAGCAACCCCACCAAGCCCCTGGAGCTCTATCGACAGTGGACTGACCGCATCATGGCTGAGTTCTTCCAGCAGGGTGACCGGGAACGGGAGCGTGGAATGGAGATTAGCCCCATGTGTGACAAGCACACAGCCTCTGTGGAGAAGTCTCAGGTACAGGTCCAGAGCCTCAAGGCCAGAGCATGGGGATAGCTTGGCCCACCACTACAAACTTGTTTGTCTCAGTCTTGGCGGGGAAGAAGCTGTGTTTAGTCTTCTGTAGCACCCTCATCTGAGGCATTGCGCTGTGGTTATTTTTCACAGACGTCTGGCTGCTTTGCACCTATCATAACATCCAAGTCTGCTGTAACCTTAGGCAGTTTTCAGAGCAATACTTTGTGTGAGGTGGGGTAGGATGTGGGAAGGGGGGTGGTTTTTGAGTTTTTGTTTTATATTTAAGCCTTGATTTGAATTTCTGATCTTCGTGCCCTACCTCTCTGGTACTGGAATCATAGGTCTTTACCACCACACCTGGTTTATGAGGTGCTAGAAAAGAAACTCAAAGCTTCATGCATGCCAGGCAAGCATGCTCTACCAACTACAACCCCCCCCCCTCTCCTTTAGGGGATTTTAAAAAAAAGTTGTATTGTTAATCTCACTGAGAAGAATAAGATCACTACCACAATTTTAGAGCTAAGTTTAAAGCAAGCTTTATTAAATATTGGCCAGGATGATAGACACTGGCAAGGTCCATACCTGAGATTCCCAGAGTATGGCTACAAATTGCATTAGTTAAAGGCTTATAAAGACAAAACCCATAAAGCAGTAAACTTCCCACCATTGTGTGATCAGGAGCAAGCATACATCCTGACATTCTTCCTGCCTGTGTATTTCCCACCTACATGTGACCAAGCATGTCCTGTGCAGTGAGACAACCAAGCTTTACAGAAGCAAAACCACATGGCTTGTTCTGTTCCATGAACAGCAGCCCCCAGAACTCCAGGAAGTTAACTGTCCTTGGGCAAGTGGGGCTTACAGGTTAGAGGCATTTATATTTTTTAGCTCTCTTAAGCATAGTATTTAAAATGTAAAATATAAACTAGGCAGTGGTGGTGCATGCCTTTAATCCCAGCACTCAGGAGGCAGAGGCAGGCAGATCTTGTGAGTTTGAGTCCAGCCTGGTCTATAGAGCTAGTTCCAGGACAAGTGTCACAGCTATACAGAGAAATCCTGTCTCCAAAAAACAAAAAAACAAACAAACAAAAAAAAGGAACCATACCTTTAGCCCTCAGTTTCAGTATATACCTATATTTACACTTGACAAAAGACACTACTCTTTATACTGTAACAGAAGGTGTATTTTAGCCCAAACATTTGGGGCAAGCTAGGACAACATAACAGGATCCTGTCTGTGGGTCAAGGATATGGCCTAGCAGGTAAAAATGTTTGACACACTGAATGGAAAGAAATGACTCCACAAGACTGCCTCCTGTCCTTCACACCATACACCATGCCAAGAAACATATGTACCTCCAAAGAAGTAAATTTTAGTTTTTTTTTTTTTTTAGACCAGGCCTCACCATGTATCTTTGGCTAGCCTGACGCTTATTGTGTAGACCAGGCTGGCCTGCAACTCAGAGATCTGCCTGTTTCTGACACCCTATACTGGGACAAAAACTAAGTGTATAGGTGTATGCCTTCTTTAATCCCAGCAGACAGGGCTAGAAAGATGGTGGCTCTTCCAGAGGACCTGGGTGTGATTCCTAGCACCCACATGGCAGCTTGCAACTTTAACTCTAGTTCCAGGGTGTCCAGCTCGCTCACCTTTCCTCTTTGGATGTCAGCCACCCACATGCTATACCTACATATATACATACAGGCAAAGCATTGATATACATACAAATAAAAATAAACAGAAAGAGGCAGCAGCAGGCAAGATCTCTGCAAGGACATGACCAGCCATGGCTACACAGTGACTATCTCAAATTAAAAAAATTTTAAATATTGAGCTGGGCTGTGGTGCACGCCTTTAGTCCCACCACTCAGGAAGCAGAGGCAGGTGGATCTCTGAGTTCAAGGTCAAGTTCAAGGTCAGCCTGGTCTACAAGAACTCCAAAGCCTCAGAGAAACCCTAGATGGTACATATTTTGTTTGGTTTTCAAGACAGGTTTTTTTTCTGTGTAACAGTCCTGGCTGTTACACTCTTTATAGACCAGGCTGGCCTTGAATTCACAGAGATCCACCTGCCCCTGCCTCCCAAGTGCTGGGATTGAAGGCATGTGTCACCACCACCTGGCTATACGGAACTATTTTTATTTAAAAAAAAAAAAAAAAAAAGGTTTATTTATTTATTTGTTTGTTTGTTTATTATGTACACAGTGTTCTGCCTACATGCATGTCTGCACACTGAAAGAGGGCACCTAATCTTGTTATAGGTGGTTGGGAGCCACTATGTGGGTGCTAGGAATTGAACTCAGGACCACTGGAAGAACAGTCAGTGCTCTTAACCTCTGAGCCATCTCTCCAGCCCCCTGAAACTATTTAATGTGTTTGAATGTTTTGCCTATATGTGTGCATGTTTACCATGTGTGTGCCTGGTGCCTACAAAAGCCAAAAGAGAGCATCAGATTCCCTGGAACTAGAGTTACAAATGCTATGTGGGTTCTGGGAACTGATCTCTACAAGAACTAGTAATCTTAGCTAGATCAGATGGTGGTGGTTCACCCAGCACTCAGGAGGCAGAGGCAGGCAGATATCTGGGAGTTAGAGGCCAGCCTGGTCTACAGAGCAAGTTCCAGGACAGCAAGAGAAACCGTGTCTTGAAAAGTAAATAGATAAATAAATAAATAAATAGTCTTAACTGCTAAGCCTCCTTCCCAGCCCAATATGGAACTTTTCACATTTTTCTTGGTCATTGGGTAGTTGGATTTTGAAACGGGAGCTACTGTAGACTAGGCTGACTTCCAATTTGTGGTAATCCTGTTGCCTCAGGCTCCTGAGTGCTCCCAGTATAGGCATGTACCGTCCAGTATTGTTTTCTTTTTGTTGGTTTGAGACAATCTTCTCTTAGTCCAAGCAGTTCTCAAACTCCTTGTGTAGGTTAGCCTGAAGATCCTTTGTCTGTCTCTCCAGTGCCTGGATTGCAGGCATGAACTTGTTTTGTTTTGATTTTTTGAGATAGGGTCTCACGCGATAGCTCTAGCTGTCGTGGGATTTACTATGTATGCCAGGTGGGGCTTGAACTCACAGAGACCTGCCTGCTTCTGCTAGGCAGATGCCTCCACATCCAGCAATTGTTTATGATTTTTTGGTTTTTTTTTTTTTTTTTTTTTGTTTTGTTTTTTGTTTTTTGTTTTGGTTTGGTTTTTCCAGACAGGGTTTCTCTTTGTAACCCTGGCTGTCCTGGAACTTACTCTGTAGACCAGGCTGGACTCAAACTCACAGAAATCAGCCTGCCTCTGCCTCCCAAGTGCTGGGACTAAAGATGTGTGTCACTGCTGCTATCTCATCCTATATGGTTTTTCTAATCTTGCTTGTGCAAGTTTAAAGAAGCAAAATCTCTGGGTTAGAAATGTGTATGTGTGTGTTACACGTGTGTACACATGGGCCAAGGACAGAGTTCAGCCTCAGATATCTTCAGCTTGTTTGTTTGATTTGGCTGGTGGGTTTGGGGGATTGTTTAGGTTTTTGTTTTGTTTTGTTTTTTTGTGGCAGGGTCTCTTGTAGCCCAAGTTGACCTCAAATTCAAGGGTGACTTTGAACATCTATTCCTCTTGCCTCAATATCCCAAATGCTTGGATTACAGGCATGTAGCCAGCATGCCTGATTTACACATCTCTGAGATGGAACTTAAGACTTCGTACATGCTAGACAAAGGTCTGTCAGCCAATCAGCTGAGCCACATCCCCAGGCTTTAGAAGCCTGTTTTGTTTTATTTTGGGAGTTTTGAACAGGGTTTCTCTGTGTAGCCCTGGCTGTCTGGGAACTCTTTCGGTAGATCAGGCTGGCCTCGGCCTCAGAGATCCCTCTGCCTCTGCTTCCTGAGTGCTGGAATTAAAGATGTGATCCACCATTGCCAGGCTAGAAGCTTGCTTTTTATTTGAGTGGACCCTGCTATTAGCTGCACCCAGCCGCTTGTTTAGACGCTCTTCCCTTCCCCAGGTGGGCTTCATTGACTACATTGTCCACCCATTGTGGGAGACGTGGGCAGATCTTGTCCATCCTGATGCCCAAGACATCCTGGACACATTGGAAGACAACAGGGATTGGTATCACAGTGCCATCCGGCAGAGCCCTTCCCCACCCCCAGAAGAGGAGCCGGGAGGTCTTGGCCATCCAGCACCACCTGACAAGTTCCAGTTTGAGCTCACATTGGAGGAGGAGGAGGAGGAGGATTCCTTGGAGGTTCTGGGATTGCCCACAGCTGAGGAAATCTTCCTGGTTCCAGATGACATCACAGCTCAGGCTACAGAACAATCAAAGGTATCTCTGAAGCAGGGGACAGATCTAGCATGTGCTGCTCCCAAGGAGTCTGTGGAGTCTGTGTGCTGCTCCTTCAGCCCTGGAACCTCCATTCTGCCTGACTTGAGGACACTGTCCCCCTCAGAGGAGGCCCCGGGCCTCCTGGGCCTCCCCTCCATGGCGGCAGAGGCGGAGGCCCCAAGAGACCATGTGGCTGCCTCCAGGGCTTATGCCTGCTCTGGGACATCAGGAGACAATTCTGCCATCGTCTCAGCTACAGGCAGGTTGGGGTCAGGTGGGGACCCAGCCTGAGCCCTGTTCCCTTCACGTATGGGTCCTCCCTCCTCCCTTCTGTCTTCACTCACCATGGACCACCTCGACGACTCCTGGCCCTCCTGAGAAAAAAAGAAAACAGAAAAGTGGGGGTTTTCTCTTTTCTTTTTTTTACCCTTCCCCGCTGCCCTTACCCACAGGGCTTTTTGTGGAGGTGGGGTCTGGGGAGCCAGGAACTGAAGTCCCCAAAAAAGGGATTTTATTTTTTGAATTTTAATTGTAACGTTTTTAGAAAAAGAACAAAAAAAAAAAAAAAAAAAAAAAAGAAAGAAAGAAAGAAAGAAACACAGCAACTGTAGATGCCACCACCTCCCCATTCCTGGTTCCCCTTATTTCCCTCCTCCCTGCACCCCACCCATCATGTCAACCTCAAGTCCAAGGCGCCATCTTCCTGCCTATCTTGAGACTTACTCCTTGATACTCAAGTCTAGGCATGGCGCTGCCCTTTGGGCTGTCCTTCTGGGGTCCAGAGGGAGTCTAGAACCATATTGGGAATAGCAGCAGGGAGAGCCACAGGGAGTGTCTGGTCCACAGCAGGGGCCCCTCTCCCTGGCTCATTGTCCCCCCCACACACACACACACAACGTCTTCCTTCTCTTGTTTTCTTATCTTTTTGTACAACCCTGGCCATATTGATGAGAGTAGTGGTCAGAAGAGCTATTGCTTTAAGATCTAAGGACCCCTAGTTTCACCTCCTCTACCAGTGTCAGGCCTGGGGCTAAAGTCCCTTCTCCAGATGCCACCTCCTTCCTGGTCCACTTTGGATCACTTTGAATTATCTCCATTGGAGGAAGGGGCCTTTGTTGTATGCACACAAACACCCTCCTTCTGGCTGCTTCTTCCTCTTGTTTCTGCCTTAAAGATTCCTGTGGCCATAGATGAAGTCTTGGTACCCCCCTCCTGCTCCCATCGTGGGCAGCTCCGGCCCATGGTCCACTCTCCCAGTATCCACTCAACTAACTTTGCAGAGTCTCACTCCCTAACACACACACACAACACTCGTTGCCCTAGGAGGAAGCAATAATGGTGTGTACCACACCCTCCCATCCTGGGCAGCCCCCTCCCTTCAGCACCAAAGCCATTTCTCCAGTCCTCACCTTACTAAGCCTGACCTTCCTCCAACCACCCCAGCCACAGGCAGTCCCTAAGCAATACAGACAGAGCAAGGCCATTTCCTCCAAGCCATGGGAGTAAGGGAACTTTTAAAAAGGAATGACCCCATTTTCCACAGCCAATGTGCAGCAGGGCATTGGTGGAGCTCTAATATTCCTTACTTGCCCTGTTACATCTCTGTACATGGTACTGTAGCCCTCCCCCAATTCCTCCCCAGATGTCCATCTGTCTAACCCACTCTCTCAAACCACGATGCTTACAGGGCTTTTGTTTATTAAGCAAAGGTAGTTTCTGTCCTAGGTGGTGATGAGAATTAATTCCCCTTTCCAAGTGTGTGGGGGGTTTTGTACATATTATAAAGTTGGTATATAAATTATTCGGAGACAGAAAGGGAGAATGAACTTGCCTTTCTCTGGTTGACCCCATTGGGAAGGTGAGGAAGGGGACCTCCGGGGACAAGTAACCCTTCCTGCTGTATTATACAAGCTGTACCATATCCCTGAATGGAGGGTGGGCTTGCTGCCAGTTCATGGGAAATTGTGTCATCATAACTGAGGAGGGACAAGAGCTGGGCAGTGCTTATACCATGTTCCCTTCTCCAAGAGCCCAGGATGGGGTAGGAGGAGTGGCCAAACCTCTGGACTCAGTCAAGGCTCCTCCCCACGGGGTGGGCACAGGACCCCATGAGCTGCTTACATACTGTCCACATTAACAATCCATCAACTTGTCAGTGGATTGACAATCAGTCCTTCAATCTTGTCCCCAATTAAAGTGAGGCTCTCACTGATGCTTCCAGCTGGTAGCTAATATGACTTCATTTAATCTGTTTCCTGGGCTTTTGTTTTATCTTGTTTTTGAGCTCTCTTTCTCTCTCTCTCTCTTTTTTTTTTTTTTTTTTTTTTTTTTTTTTTTTTTGATTTTTTTGTTTTTTTTTTTTTTTTTCGAGACAGGGTTTCTCTGTGGCTTTGGAGCCTGTCCTGGAACTAGCTCTTGTAGACCAGGCTGGTCTCAAACTCACAGAGATCCGCCTGCCTCTGCCTCCCAAGTGCTGGGACTACAGGTGTGTGCCACCACCCATCCATCAAGGCTTATTTCTTTATGTTAAAGGAAAGGCCTTTACCTGCTAAGCCACCTACCTCATTGTCCATTTTCTCTGACCCTGGATCTCATGTCCCCTATGCTGGCCACAGACTTGCTCCATAGCTGAGGCTGGCCTCAAACTCATGACTGAGCTGTTACTCAGTCATGGTCTCTCCACAGGAGCTGTGGCTTAAAGCCGGGTGTGTAGCTGCATTTTTCTCTCCTATTCAAGAGCTTCAGTGTGGAAGTCTTGAATGCAAGATCTTTCTTGCTGGGATGGATTTCAGGACTTCCTGCATGTTAGGAAAGCATGATACTGCCTAAGACAGATCCCCAGCCCTAAATAGCATATTGTTTTCATAGACCTTAAACAATCCTCTTATATACTTTTTAAAAACACAGTTGGGCTTGGGATGCAGAAGCAGGTGGATCTTTGTGAGTTCAAAACCAGCCTGGTCTACAGAGCTAGTTCCTGGACAGTGAGATCTACACACAGAGAAATCCTGTTTCAAAAAAAAAAATGTATACTTGTTTTGTTTTTTCTTAATTATTTTTGCTTTGCATGTTTGGCTGTGTCTGCCTAAATCTCTCTGCACCATGGGTGTGCAGTACCAGAAGAATCCCAGAAGAGGGCATTGTATCCTCTGAAGCCAGAGTTGGTTAATTGTGAGCTGGGACCTGAACCTACATGCTCTGTAAGAACACCTTAACCACTGTGGTTAGATGCCTCTTAACCATTGAACCATCTATCTCTCCAGCCCCAAGGTTCTTTCTTTGGTTGGTTGGGGGTGGGGGGCTCTGCATAGCACTGGCTGTCCTGGAACTCTGTAGACCAGGCAAGTTTAGAGCTTACAGAGATCCAACTACTGCCTCCTGAGTGCTGGGATTAAAAGCTGTTGTGTGTTTCTATTTTAGGCTCACATGTAGCCCAGCCTGGCTTTAAATCTGATATGTAATGGCTGTTGGTCTTGACCCTCCTTGCTTCTACTTCATAAGTACTCAGATAGCAGGCATTCAACCCTCTTCCCAACTTTGTCCATTCCCTTTCTATGAAGCAGTGCTCTGGCCAGTGACTACTGGACTGCACTGGATGGTTCTGGAATCAAAGTCAGGGCATTCAGGACAGGTTTTAGAGAGGACAGATCATCCGTTTGATTGTGCCTGGAAAGGTTCCCAGGAGACAACCATCCCAGAGGATGAGGGACCAGCTTGGACCCTAGTAGAAAGGCCATTTTGAACTTTATGCAAGATGCAAAGAGAAGACCCAGACACTGTCCCAGGAGATCTAAGCCTGACAGGGTTGAGGAAGAGTCACTAAGCTAGAGGTCAAGAGGCCACAAGTAATTCTGAGCTGCAGGGATTTGTTGAAGGGCAGGGAAACCTAGGTGGTGAACCTATTTTCTCCCTGCCTCAGTTTCCCCCAAGTATAAAAGGGTTGGTGGATGTTAGTACATTAAATAATAGGAGCATCAGCCAAGCATGCCAGTGAAGATCACCATCAAGCTGCCTCATTGGAAACCAAGTGCACTGGATGCAGCATCAAGACCAGTTAGGTCGGGGCTAGAGAGGTGGCTCAGCAGTTAAGAGTACTGGCTGCGCCGGGCATTGGTGGTGCACACCTTTAATCTCATCGTTCAGGAGGCAGAGGCAGGCAGATCTCTGTGGGTTCGAGGCCAGCCTGGACTACAAGAGCTAGTTCCAGGACAAGCTCCAAATCCAAAGCAATACAGAGAAACCCTGTCTCAAAAAGAGCACTGGCTGCTCTTCCAGAGGTCCTGAGTTCATTTTCTAGGAACTACATGGTTGAGATCTGGTGCCCTCTTCTGGTGTGCAGGCAACATATACAGACACACTATAAACATAATAAATCCTAAAAAAAAAAAAAAACTCACCACCAGGAGACTACTATGTGCCACCCCAGAACTAGGGAGGCAGGCCAGTCTGATCTACTACAAAGTAAGTTCCAGGACAGCCAGGACTACACACAGAGAAACCCTGTCTCTCTCTCTCTCCCTCTCTCCCTGTCTCTCTCTCTCACACACACACCACAAGGCTGGGTTTTTATTTGAGGGAGGACGAGGAGAATGTACTTGTACCACACTGCCTGTGTGCAGGTCATTGCATTTGGTGTTCTCCATCCACTCCACTATATGGGTTCCACGGCCTGAGCTCAGGTTATGAGACTTGATGGTAAAAGCTTTACACAGTCCACTTTTTAAAACTAACTTTGTAAAAAAAAAAAAATCAAGCCTTTAATCCCAGCATCGGGGAGGCAGAAGCAGGTGGATCTCTGTGAGTTCAAGGTCAGCCTGGGCTACAGAGTGAGTTGGACAGCCAAGGCTACAAAGAGAAGGCCTTTGACTTTGTGGTTAAGAGCACTTGCTGCTCTTTCAATGAACATGGGTTTGGTTCCCAGCAACCAAACTGGGCAACTCACAACCTCCCTTATACAGTCCTAGGGATCTGACACTCTCCTCTGTGAACACTGCACACAACTAGTGCACACAGACAGGTATGCACATGTACTAATGAATAAAAATAATTTAAACCTGAATAAAAATAATTTTTGGGATAGGGTCCAATTTTGTATGGCTCTCATGGAACTTGCTATGTAGATCATGCTGGCCTCAAACTCGAGATTAACCTGCCTGTGTTGTAATTTTAAAAAAACAAGACAAGAGAGAAAGATATTATGTGACAGAGTTCAAATGGAGGGTTTTTTTTTTTATTAGGGGAAAAGAATCTTAAAAGGGGGAAAGTGGGTCTTGCCTCTGCCTCCTGAGTGCTGGGATTAAAGGCACCAATACCCTGGTCTATTTTCAATATTTCTATTTTTAATTGTTTATTTGTGTGTGGATATTCGTGAGTGTAGTGTCAAAGAAGGCCATAAAGATAAGCCACATCAGATCCTCTGGAATGAGAGTTTCAATGATTATACATCACCAAGTGGGTTCTGGGTCAGTGCTCTTAACATCACCATCTCTCTGGCCTCTGTGTGTGAGAGGGAGGGAGGGAGAGAGGGGGAAACAGACTGTGTGTGTATGTGTAGGTCAGAAGACAACTTATAGGAGTCACTTTTCTCCTTCCACTATGTGGCTTCCAGAAATTAAATACATTTCATTAAGCTTCTGGGCAAGGGCCTTTGCCTATTAAGCCATATTGTGTATCCTGATTGGGGGTTGGTTAAACAAGTCTCGCCAGGTGTGGTTGTGCATGTCTTTTAGTTCCAGCACTAGAAAGACAGAAGCTTGAAGCCAGCCTTGTCAATGTAGAAAGACCCCCGTCTCAAAAATAAAACCAAAAAACCCTAAAATAACAACCAGGGTCTCACATAGCTCAGGCTGTCCTGGAACTCTGTATGTAGCCGAAGATGCCC